ATTTTTTGGTGAGGAACAGACTGTAGTCTCTGCACTACCATCTAGTGGCCACTTAGCATTACTAATTAAAACCCTTTTGCAGGTTTGATTGCTTCATGCAGGAGTGTTAAGGGAACAGTGCTCAGGGTTCAGGCTTGCTTGGGATAAATGATTACGTTCCACTACACGGGGGTGTTATTTCCTGCGAGCTGGGATGCACTTTTTGTTTTGTAGCAAGACTTTAAGTGTTGGAGGATGATGACAATTTCAAGGCAAAATTTGGTTTTAAACATAAACACAAACAAATCTGCATAATTTTTAGCTGGTTATAGGCATTTATTATCACTCCTCTGCAGCAGTATTTCGTTTTTCTAAGGAAAGTCCTTTTTTATTCCTCTTATAGAGCTGGACAGAGAGGTTTTGATTTACTTTCCTTTTTAGTTGGATACTTTGAAATATTTTTAATCCACCTCTGTTAAAACTATATATTCTATAGAGCTGCTGGTAGCAAGTTGGTAGCAGCAGGGGTCTTGGGGGGGGAAAAAAAGAATGTTTAGAAAAAATTCTATGCAAGTCTCATCTGTTAATTGGAGCAACTAAAGTGACCCCCATGAAAATGAGTGGAAGGGGTAACCTGCCATGTTAATTAGTGTCTTGAAACAATTCAGTGTTCATAGAATCATGGAATGGTTAGGACCACAGAATGGAAGACACCTTTAAAGGTCACCCAGTCCAACCCCCCTGCCATGAGCAGGGACATCTTCAACTAGATCAGGTCGCTCAGAGCCCCATCCAACCTGACCTTGAATGTTTCCAGGGATGGGGCATCTACCACCTCTTTGGGCAACCTGTGCCTGTGCTTCACCACCCTCATGGTAAAAAATATCTTCCTTCTATCTAGTATTAAGGCACATTTTAAATATTCATGATTTTTGGAAAGTGGTAGGAGTTTGAGAGTGAACGGGATAATAGACCTTCAACTTTGTCCTGGAAATGTTACTTTATGTTGCCCAAAAGGGACAGAACTGAATCACAGCTAACGAGGTGAGCTCGTCCTGTTGTTGCTGTCACCGTATCAAGACTAAATAAGCATGGGGCAGCTGAGTTGTCAGTTCAGCCTATTTCTTTTTTTCAATTAAAATTGATGAGGAACATGGGGGGGAGAAACCAGCAGCAGCGTTTAGTGTAGTATCTACTTTGTTGTGGCACACAAACACCAAATAGAAGAACAAACAATCCTGGCATCAGTAGGTAGCTGTTTTAGTGTGTAGCTAAACAATATTTATTTCAGTTTATAATAGAGGTTATAAAGCAAATGCCTATTCTAATGTAATAAGCACTCTTTTCGGGTAAAAATTTATTCCAAGTTGTAAATGCTGCAGAGCCCCTTACTATCCAAGATTTGTGTTGCATCATTAGCCTTTCCAGGCTAAAATATGGTAGTGTGTTCACATTTGGTTAATCTAGCTCTGCCTTTTTATTTCTTTCCCCTCCCATGTTTTCTGTAGCATGTTGGAAGGGAACTCCCAGTGCTGTCAGATAACCTTGCTGTGGTTTTTCAGGCCTCGCAGGTACTTCATCCTGTCATCTCAAATGGCTCTGCACCCGGAATACCGCTCCGAGCTGGAAGCTCTTCAAGCTGAGAACGGGGAATCCGTGTTGATCCTGGACAAATGTACAAATCTGTCAGAGGGGGTCCCCGCTGTTCGCAAACGTTGTCACAAGAATCAAGTCTTTGATTATCCCCAAGTGCTTCAGGTAAAGATGTCTCTCCTCCAAACTTCTCTTCCCCTTGGTGACTGTCTTAGCTGTGGAGCTGTTCCGGTTTAGCACTGGTAGGGCACTTCTTTGGGTTTATCACAGAATGATTTGGGTTGGAAAGGACCTTAAAGATTATCAAGTTCCACCCCCTGCCCTGGGCAGGGACACCTCCCACCAGACCAGGTTGCTCCAAGCCCCATCCAGCCTGGCCTTGAACCCCTCCAGGGATGGGGCAGCCACAGCTTCTCTGGGCAACCTGGGCCAGGCTCTCACCACCCTCACAGCAAAGAATTTCCTCCTAATATCTAACCTAAATCTCTCCTCTTTCAGTTTAAAACCCTTCCCCCTCGTCCTGTGTAATTAACTCAATGGCTATGTTTTGAAACCGCATGATTCATTACGTTAGCTTGGATATTATAAAATTTATTCTTATTTTTAAGTGGGCCCAGAATTATCTACTCAAACTGATACACAGGCTATGCTGCAATTAAAAAACACTGCTTGTGTACAACAATTTCATGAGATTGGTCGTGATGATCTCCTAGTAGCACATGATGACGTCATGTAAACTTAAAAAATGATACAAACATACTGCCAAATCCAGCAACAAAGGGAAGAGAAATTTTTGGAGGCCAGGCAAATTTGCTGACTTAAAAATTGGAGAAGAACATTGGGATCTAGGCTCTCTGGAATAACTGTGGAAATGACCTCCAGCAGGCATGAATCTGATATTGATTTCTCACATATGACAGCCGAGGCCTTGCTAGATGAAGCTTGGAACAGAGGATAGCTCTGTCAATTGGAGGGAAGATTAACATGAACTTTAAAGAGCTTCTGTGTGGATTTATTTGGGGGCAGAACCCGAGTGCTACTTTTAAGGAGAGTTGGTCAAGCTTGTATGTTTTTTTTCTATGCATCTCAGTAGTTAAACCCTCCAAAACTCTCCGTATGGATAGGACAGGCCGAGCTAGAAGACTTGTCAGCGTGCAGCTATGAAAACAGCTAGGTGAAATGTGTTTCATGGCCTGGGCCCAACTTCCAGAGGCTTTTTGATGTGTCAGTGAAGATAAAACTAGCTGGTGTTCTCAGCCCCCTGTGTCTCTTGGCAGTTCCCTGCCAGCGAGGTGCTGTGGCATGCGGTGTGGTGGAGTTACACCATAGGCCACTGGGCTCTGTCTGCGGCCACCAGCAGCAAATCTGGCTTTGAACTTCAGCAAATGATGATAAAATAACAAACAAGCCGAGGAAAGGCAAAGTTTCCACCCCTCTTGTTATGTTTTGTAGGAAATATGTTTAAAATTCCTTGTGGAGGAGGGGGAGAAGGGAGGAAAGGGTCACCCGAAGTCCTAAACTTTCAGCCAAAGGGGAAAATACTTATTTGTTTGCTTTATTTCTTTAGAAACAGACTGGATTGCTCAAGGATAACAAGTCAGGGAATCTATATCTATATCTTGGCCTGTATGATTTTATAACTCAGAAGAGAGCTGGCACATGCCGAGATCATTAAAATACTTTCCTTTGCAGAGCCTTGCATCTCCCTTTGGAATGTCTGGCTGATAACAGTGGTGATGTGAGGAGATGTATTTATAGTAACCTTTGTCTAGACAGGAAAAATGGTTATCTGGGCAGATGAGCATGTGTGTCCACATCTGGGCTGCTTTTTTTTCCTTTTTTTTTTTTTTTTTTTTTCCCCCCTCTTCCAGACCTTACTGGAGTCTCTTCCACCTGCTGCTGTGCGATCTAGTGAGTCAGTGGTTAAAATGTGTGTTGGTTCTCTCTGCTCTTTTCATTCCCCCCACCCTTCTCTTCCTGTCTGAGACTGGGGGGGAAGGGGGGACTACGATCGCAGTTCATCCTTTCCAGCACTGCCTTTACAGATTTCCTGCTAGACAGGCTCTTGGGCTTCTGGGTTGCTAATGCTTCCTGTTGGCAGTCTTCTCCTGGATGGGATTTTCAAGGCTTTCAGATTCATAGAGTACTAAACACAGGTCTTACAGTTGCGTCAGGAAACAAATGAAGAGCCAGCAAACCCCCTTGTATTTCCTAGTTCCAGTTTGATGTTTTGCTGTCCTGCTGAGCCTCCTGGCTGCTTTTCCTCAGGCCACGGAACGCAAGCCGGAAAGATGTTTTCTTATCTGTGGGAGCCCCTGTATCAACTTTATAATTTTTTCTTTCTTAGACTTAGGGATAATAGTGACTTGGGCTTTTTCCTTGTTTGTGTAGCTGAACTCTAGAGCCATTTATTTTGTGATCTTGAACCTGTAATGAGACTCCTCGGTGTCAGTGAGAGCTAAAGTCCCCATTTACAGGGTGAGCACAGCATAGTCAAGAAGTCTTCTCTGCTGCAGTTTAAACTCCTGGCTTTTTGTCTTGTGTGTTGTGGGCACAAGTAAGCAGGTTACATTCTTCCATTTTGCAGCAACTTTTTATATTTTTGAAGCTCCCCTTAACCATCTTCCTCCTGCCCTCACCCCTTCAGATTAAGTAGTATTGATATAATCAGTCTTTCCTCATAGATCACGTTTTCAAGGTAAGTAATGATCTTTTTTTTTTTTTTTTTTTTTACAAGGGGGAGGGCAGGAAAACGTAATGCATACACAGGCATAATACAAACCAAACATTTCCCTTTTTTCCTTGTCTGTTTGATCCATTTGTTGGCAGGAGTCCACATTCTGTGTTGTTCTACGTGGAGCCCGCCTGGGCCAGGCTGTGCTAAGTGATGTTCTTCAAGCTGGCTGTGTCCCAGTCATCGTTGCTGACTCCTACATCTTACCTTTCTCGGAGGTTCTGGACTGGAAGAGGTCTGTACCCTCAGTATTGTGCATCAAACTACCACAGAAGGGACTTCTTTGCATTCAGTAATGTGAATAAAGTCTAGTGTTTTGAGGGCTACAGGGAATAAGATTACAGAATAAGCCACATGCAGTCTTTACCCTATATATATTATGCATCAAAAATAGGAGAAGAAAACAAATGAGGCAGAGATGACAGAGCATTTGGTTATCCTGGAGCCGATGACATTTTTTTCTAAAACAGACTTGCTTTATTATCTTTTGCTTGAATTCAGTGAGGACTGGTCTGCATTCAAGCTCTTTTAAGAAAAGCACGTGCTGAAATTGGTATCATGTAAATGCTAAATTCTGTATGTTCTGTTCCTGATTCCTACATTCATCTGAGACTGAAACATATATTTATTTTGTAGCCGAGTACCCTGTGTTAAGAGCCTAGATTATTTTTCCATGCATGCACTATGCCCACTTATGTGATCTTAGGAAAATACATACAAAATTGACTGCTTTGTATACATAGCACTGTGTATGTTCTTAGTGTTTGGTCACTCAAAAAATGTCAGTTGACAGCAAGTGAGTGGCAGTCCAGAGAAGAGAATTCAGGATTTCTGGGTCTCTGTCTCTTCCATATTTATTGGGTTGTCTGTAGATCAGTCCATAGACTTTGTAGGTTTAGACTGAACATTAGGAAAGAATTTTTCACCGAAAGAGTGGTCGGGCATTGGAATAGGCTGCCCAGGGAGGGGGTGGAGTCCCCATCCCTGGCTGTGTTTAAGGGCCGTTTAGATGCAGTGCTGAGGGACATGGGGTAGGGGAGGACTTTGTAGAGTAGGGGAGATGGTTGGACTCCATGATCCCAAGGGTCTCTTCCAACCTAGATGATTCTATGATTCTTTGATTACCTGTGGGCAGACTAGCTGATGTTGTGAAGGAACTGCTACAGAATAATTAATTATGCTGAGAGAAGACTCTTTCTTCCTGCTGCTATCTTCTGAACGTGTCTTATTAGAATAGGACAAGACTGGGTTGGAAAAGCTGTTGACATCTCCTAATGAAGAACTTATTTCTTCTCCTCTTACCGTTTGTTTTCTGGTTGGTTTTTTTTTTGCTTATAGAGCTTCTGTTGTCATCCCTGAAGAAAAGATGCCTGAAATGTACAGTATTCTGCAAAGTGTCCCCCAGCGACAGATTGAAGAGATGCAGAGACAGGTAAAATAATGTACTCTGTTTAAATTTTCTTTTGTTTATGGTTGGAGTGTAGATTGGTATGTCTGCCTTACTGGGAAATCTGTTGGAATGCAGAAGCATCCATTGTACTCTCATGTTAATATTTTGATTATTCATCCCTCTTCTTTCTTTACCCTAAACATACTCATTGACCATTACTTTTCAATGTCATGTCTCTACCCATCACTGGGGCAGCTAAATGTGTTGAACAGCAGCTGTTGATCAGTACTGTGTTATCCATAACGTCAGGAAATTAGGAATATTGCATATGATTGCAATTGCAGAAGAACATTTCACTGGGCAGACTTCAGTTACTCAGAGTGGATTTTCTCCAACCTACCAGGTTAATGTACATGCTGTTGTGAAATACATTATAGGATCTTTAGCATCCACAGTGATGGAAGCCTCCCCATCCTGAAACATGAAACTGAAATGTTGACTATTTGCTTTTTCATGAAAAGATGCTGTAGTGTTTGTCACGAATGGAGATTGCCCATTTCTACTACTGGAGTCAAACCCCACTTTCATTAATTTCACATTTCTTGTGCCCCCTCTGCTTTCTTAATGCACCCTCGGATGGACGCTCTCCCTGAGTGCAGGTGTACTACCTACTCTCATATTTCTGATGAAATCATGGTGTACATTTGTTTCTTTTCCCTAAATGGTATTTAAATTGTATTAAAGTAATTCAGGAATCTGCCTTTATCTCAAGAGAAGCTTTGGTTCTCACTCAAAAAGTGAGAGAAGCACGAATTGCAAAATGTTTTAAATATTTCAACTAAGTTGACAGTTCCTCTGAGAGGGGAATTTGACTGGGGTGGTGACTGGAAGAGCTGAGACCATGAGCTGTCCAAACTTGTGACAGAAGTCCGTGTGGGCTGGATATATAGTCAAAGGGAAACATCTTCTAGTTCACTCCAGTTGATGCTGGTTCCTGTTCATTCCCCTGCCCTGGACAGGGACACCTCCCACCAGACCAGGTTGCTCCAAGCCCCATCCAGCCTGGCCTTGAACCCCTCCAGGGATGGGGCAGCCACAGCTTCTCTGGGCAACCTGGGCCAGGCTCTCACCACCCTCAAAAGCAAGAATTTCTTTTTAATATCTCATCTCAGTCTCCCCTCTTTCGGTTTAAAACCCTTCCCCCTCATCCTATGGTTCCCCTCCCTGATCCAGAGTCCCTCCCCATCTCTCCTGGAGCCCCTTGAGGGACTGGAAGGGGCTCTAAGGTCTCCCCGGAGCCTTCTCTTCTCCAGGCTGAACCCCCCCAACTCTCTCAGCCTGTCCTCACAGCAGAGGGGCTCCAGCCTCCGATCATCTCCATGGCCTCCTCTGGCCCTGTTCCAACAGCTCCATGTCCTTCCTGTGCTGAGGACTCCAGAGCTGGACACAGAGCTCCAGGTGGTGTCTCCCCAGAGCAGAGGGGTCACCATCAGTTGCTTTAATTCTGGAGCTCTCACAGAAATGGCAAGCCCAACAGATAAGGATTGTTACCTGTGTGAGGATTTTCACGAAGGGCGAAGAGTTTTCTTGTCAGATCAGGGGGTAGGATTCAACCACGTTGTTCTTTGGGTGGTTGGAATATATAGATTACTTTTTTGGGCCGGTGAAGAAGTAAGATGTTAACATATTCTGTAAACTTGTATCTAGGATCTTTCATCCTTGTCACCTTATTTTACCTGAGCATATATTGGTAGAAGGTAGGGAGATACTGTTGTCATTGCTTTTCCTGAGGAGAAACTGAGGCATAGAGAAAGAGAGAGCTGGGTACGTAGGGAAAAGGTCTATCTATCTGATCTGAGGTGACTTTTGAAGATGTGTGGGATTTGTGAAGACATGTTTCTGAAATTCCTTTACACAACCTCAGTGACAAAGTCATCTTTTGGGTAGTCCTTGTAAAAATTGACCCAAGGCCTGGTTTTCAGGGTGTAGCCTACAGTTATTTCTACCTGGACAGTGCTAAAAGTTGCACGTGTGTGTTAATACTGGATACGTATGGAGAAAATAGACTCTCAAATGGAGAAAATAGACTCTCAAATGTAACAGTGAGTCTTTTTACGCCTGAATTCCTTTTCCCAGTCTGCAAATATCCCAGCAGCCATCAGGGGTCTCCTTTCTCTTCAGTCCTTCACACAAATGAACCGTCTTGCTGTGCCCAGGTTGCCACCAGGGATGGCAGGTGAAAAAGTAGCTTCGTCGTTGCAGCTCCTAAAAACAGGATTTTGCTTTATTTTCCCGTTTTTTTTTCTTTCTCTGACATAAACGTAGATACGTTAACGCTGGGGAGTTTTGCTGCCTCTGACATAAACATAGATACGTTAACGCTGGGGAGTTTTGCTGCTGAAAGCTTTTAACAGACCCTTAATGTCAGTTTTAAATGTGCATGGATTTTTCTTGTTGTCCGTTTTACTACTATCGTAAAATAATTGTTTCAGGATAGTGTTCTCTTTCTACAGAGAATACAGGTGAGGAAAAACCGGAAACAAACAAAAAACCCCCTAAATGTTCACAGGGAAACAAACCAACAAAACGCCCCTTAATTCAGATGATCTAGAAGTTATCTCTATGGTCTATAACTCCATAAAATTCAGTTAAAACAGAAGATATTTTAGTGTCCAGAATGCAATTCCATATTGTGTTTGGAGTGAATTTTGTTGGGATTATAGATGGTTTTTAGTAGTCATCGCCGTTGGGTCCAAAGTATCCCTGAACGTGATGGGAACTGTGATTCTGTTGACTGAAAGTGGGAAGTGTGTTTTTCTAAAGCTTCCTCACATCTTGATGCTTTTGTCGAGGATCTAGTTGAGTGGTTTTGGTAGTAGGAGTACCAAAATGAAATGACGAGGTCTGTCTTTCTTTTGTCTTTGTCAATTTATTTCTGTCCGTGTGTTGAAGGCACTTAAACATATTATCTCCATATGTTAATGTGTCCTCTCAGCCTTATTTGTGAAATTCCCTTCTTGATACAGGGTTCTATGTTCTAGCTCTCTGATTTGGTGAAAAACTACTTAGTGATTAATGTTGTGTGGACTGCCAGGAACCTGGCTGCTTTTCCTCAGATAACTATGCAGTTACATTCCACCTGTGCTACAGATCTTGGTTTCCTTCCTCCTCCTCCTCCTCCTTAGCAGGGAGCAGTTGCATGCTTTATTTACTGGCTTTTGATTTCAATGGCTTGGGAAACTATCTTAGGAATTTTTTTGGCGAGCCAAAAATGTCTTCCGGGTTTTTTTCAGCGTCTTCACTTCAGCACCAATATACAGGAATTAATGAGTAAAGGTTCACAAAATAAAGCTAAAGTCATCATAGAAGAAGGAGGGAATTTGATGTTGAAATGAACCTTTTGAAGAGGCTGGTGCTTAGAGTAGTTCAGAAGCGAAGCGAATTTGTCGTAAGTGCTCTATTTTGTTTCTTGGGCAAGGAACTACTAAAGTGGAACTCAACTAATATCCATTTATAGAATGAATCACAAATGATTCATCTGGAGTGATTTGTGCATGTTTTCAGACGTGATCGATAGCAGTTGTTTATTCTGCTGAGCCATGGAAGGGCAACAAAAGCTTCAAAATATTCTGGTTTTGCAAGTAACCCCTATTTCTCAAGAATATTTATACCACTTTCTTTTGCTGCTTCAATTTTAAGGGCTGATAACACTTGATGTACAATATTTTGATGCTTGTTTTTTGTCGAGTGGAACAAGACTGACTGAAACTGGTCTTGTGGTATGTTTGGGTTTTTTCCAGTTCATTGTAGTTTGCACTGAGCATTGCTCTTATTTAGATGGAAACAAAGATAGTTAGATCACAATGGTCATGTTATTTCTTGTTTTTACGATATCAAAAACTTGGAGTTTGATGTACAGTTACAAAAAGATTGGTCCATAACTGATGTTAAAATGAGGGGAAAGTGATCTTTGCAAAGAGCTTGTATTAAAATTGGTATGAAAATTGTTTTACAACATCTCACTGTTCCCTTTGTAGTTAGGATGTGTTTAGGTTTTATTTCAAATACTGGTTTTGTGGCACATGAAATTCTATTAGGGGAGACAATATGTTTTTGATAAAGACTTGTGAAACGTGCTTTGCCAGTACCTGCCAATTAACGTACTTTTTCAGTAAATTAAGAAACCGGTTGACGTGTTCTGACATAAGCGTGGTTGAGATCATCCCCTTTTTAGCCAAACAGAACAAATCTTGTTTTTCAGTAGGATGAAGCATGAGTTCATCATACCTATCAGGCTTTCTGGGGCTGATAACCTTTGTGGGGTTGGAGCCTTGCTGTCCAAATACTTTGCTTGCAGTGGTTGGCTTGATTACGACAGAATTCTTCTCCTTAGTTGGAAAAACCCCATAATTAAAGGGAATTTTATTGTAAATGTTAGTTTGCCAGTTTTCTTTGTTGACTAGATACTTTTTCTGCAGTATTTTATTGCAGTTGATATATATATACACGCGCAGAGACGTGTATGTGTATGATTGTCTCTTTTAATGAGTAAACCTTCTTCTATGCTTAATTTTTGCTTTGTTTCTGGAAGTGCTTCTAGCCATGCTTCTAGCTGGAGAAGAGAGGGAGGCTCTTGAATGCAAGTCATTACATTTAAAATCAATAAAAACCCGCATTTGAAAATATTTTCTTATAGTTCGGACACTGATCGTGAGCATCACACCCTACTGTCATGATGAGGATAAAATACAGGTGGTTTGACTTTGGAGTCATCACCTGCTGGGATCGACAGCTGTTGTGACCTTGGGCTATGATTTCCTATAACACAACTTAGTTTTGCTGGGTTGTTTTGTCAGACAGTGCATGGTATAAACCAAGGAGGAGGTTTATTGGTTTGAGCAGAGCTGGAGTGTGGGAAATCAGAATGGATTTCTACTGTCCTGCCTTAGACCTGATGGTGCTGACATCTCTGGAGTTGATGTAACTTGTGCTTCTGTTATTCAGACTCGCAGAACTTTTTTGCCCTCAGCAATTTCTGGTTT